ACCAGGACACTCGGCACCCCCAGCAGATGGGAAACCTGCAACAACTCAGGGAGGCGTCGAACCCACCTCATACCCCTCGCACCGAGCCATCGAACATCTGCTACGGAAGATGTGAAACCCAACCGCTCGCCTCCAGGCCGAACCGCCGCACGCTGCCCAGCCCAGTAAACATAAGAGTGCCGATGATCCAAATCCTGGCGGGAACCGAAACTGCGGAAAGAAATCACGCCAGTAAACCATTCGGACGAACATAGGAAACATAACGTCTTGATTCCCACCTACCAATCCTCTGAACCACCTGCGCAGGCATGCCAAGCCTAGAGGCCTCAGTAGCCGCCCCAATACTGAACGAATGGCCCCCAAACTCCCTGCTATCCAATATGAAACACTCTAATAAACTGGAAATGTGACAGAAAACTACCATCTCCATGCACCAGGAGGGGCAGCGCAGGAGAAGGCCGCGAGGAGCAATATTCCCCAAAAGACCAAACAGGACAAATGCCGGAACCAGGCACGGCCCCCAACTGGACCCACTTTCCCCTCCCGAAGACATCCGTCTTAGAGTGGCGGATCCTGAACGAGATCCGATCCGCGGTGCACGTAACGTCCCCAAATAGCACCCCCCCTACCTGTTGCCGATTGGGGCACACCAGCTCCCCAATCCGCATGGCACCAAAGAATGCCAGGGAAAAAGCCAGGCGAAAGAGCCGAACCTCGAAATCCGAATGGCAAATCCTGTGCAACGCCTCACACAAAGTAGTTAAGATCATGCCCGAGACAGGACGCCTCGAATCTCGTGCAGACACCCTCCCTCGTCTTAAACCCTTTAGCGCCTGGCGTACAATAAACGCCTTGGTAGCGTCTTCCCAACCCCGCAACTTAAACAGGAAGCTAAGCCCCGCCAAGCATGCCGAAATGGCCGAGGGAGACCACCCAGCGGCGTCCCATTCCCCCAAGAGAAGAACCAGACCCTGAAGACGAGTGGCCGAGTCCCGGAAGCCCTCTTGGGACCTCACCCACCGGTCCCATTCCCTCCAAACCTTGTTATAGCGGTCCCATGCTCCAGACAGCGCAGAACCAGGCGCTACAGCAAGCGAACCACGGGGGAGGAAGAAGCCGACAGTTGGTTAATAGCCTGCACCACCCCCAAGTTATCACAATGGAAAACCACATGTCTGTCCACCAGCAGGGAACCCCATACCTCCAACGCTACCAGAATAGGGAAGAGCTCCAGAAACGCCAAGTTTCGAGTGAGCCCTGCCGTATGCCAGGTCTCCGGCCACGAGTCAGCGCACCATTTGGAGCCCAGAATGGCCCCAAAACCGGCCGAGCCAGCCGCATCGGTAAACAAATGGAGGTCTGCATTACAAACCTCCGGGGCCTGCCAGTACGACCTCCCATTATATGAGGCCAAAAAGGAATCCCAGACAGCCAAGTCAGCCCGCAAGGGTCGCGTATGCCGGATAAAGTGCTCCGCCGCCAAGCGCCTGTTAAAGATACCTCCCATGGGCAAAATTCCACAGGTGAAATTGAATTTCCCCAGCAGAGATTGCAGGCCATGCAACTGGATCTTCTGCTGCCCTATGGCCCGTGAAACCAGTAGGCACAGGTCCAGGACTGACATTCCCCGGCCACTGAATCGATTTCAATGCCCAGAAAACTAAGGCACGTTAACGGACCCACCGTCTTGTCACGAGCCAACGAACACCAAATCGCTGAAACACCTCCCCGAGAACCCGCAACAAGAGGGCACAAACGTGCGATTCCGCCGGCCCTACTCACAGGAAGTCATCTAGGTAATGCAGAAGGGAAGCAACCCCTGCTTCCCTCCGTACCACCCATTCCAGAAAAGTGCTAAAGCACTCAAAATAGAAACATGACAGAGAGCAACCCATAGGGAGGCACATATCTACAAAGAACTGGCCTTCAAAAGCACAGCCAAGTAGTGATGTACCGAACGGTTCGCCAGCGAATGGTTCTCGGCGAACATAGCATGTTCGCCTTCGCCACGGCGGGCGAACATATGCGCGGTTCGACCCGCCCCCTATTCGTCATCATTGAGTAAACTTTGACCCTGTACCTCACAGTCAGCAGACACATTCCAGCCAATTAGCAGCACACCCTCCCTAGCAGACCCTCCCACCTCCTGGAAGGCATCCATTTTAGATTCATTCTCAAGCTGCATGCTTTAGTAAGAGGAGGGAAAGTGTAGCTGCTGTTCATTAGATAGGGAAAAGCATAGCTAGGTTAGGGTAAGGGTATGCTTTTTTTTTTATTTTATTTTCTATGTAATGTAATTGCACTTAGTTGTCTGCCACTGCTGCCAGCTTCTGTGTCAGGCTCACAGTGCATACTGTGCCCATTTCCCCAGTCAGTGCTACCACTTATATCTGGTGTCACAATAGCTTGGATTTAAAACAAAAAACTTTTTTCACTGTTATAGATTGAATAGCAGTCAGTTGTCTGTCACTGCTGCCAGCTTCTGTGTCAGGCTCACAGTGCATACTGTGCTCATTTCCCCAGTCAGTGCCACCACTTACATCTGGTGTCACAATAGCTTGGATTTAAAAACAAAAAACTTTTTTCACTGTTATAGATTGAATAGCAGTCAGTTGTCTGCCACTGCTGCCAGCTTCTGTGTCAGGCTCACAGTGCATACTGTGCCCATTTCCCCAGTCAGTGCCACCAATTACATCTGGTGTCACAATAGCTTGGATTTAAAAACAAAAAACTTTTTTCACTGTTATAGATTGAATAGCAGTCAGTTGTCTGCCACTGCTGCCAGCTTCTGTGTCAGGCTCACAGTGCATACTGTGCCTATTTCCCCAGTCAGTGCCACCAATTACATCTGGTGTCACAATAGCTTGGATTTAAAAACAAAAAACTTTTTTTACTGTTATAGATTGAATAGCAGTCAGTGTCCTTAAAGCGGGTGTGTTACGCCAACAGTGGATACGGTGACCAGTGCCACCAATTAGATCTGGTGACACAAAGCTTGGATTTAAAAAAACAAAACACTTTTTTCACTGTTATAGATTGAATAGCAGTCAGTGTCCTTAAAGCGGGTGTGTTACGCTAACAGTGGATACGCTGACAAGTGCCACTAATTAGATCTGGTGTCACAATAGCTTGGATTTAAAAACAAAAAACTTTTTTTACTGTTATAGATTGAATAGCAGTCAGTGTCCTAAAGCGGGTGTGTTACGCTAACAGTGGATACGCTGACAAGTGCCACTAATTAGATCTGGTGTCACAATAGCTTGGATTTAAAAAAACAAAAAACTTTTTTCACTGTTATAGATTGAATAGCAGTTATCTTCAAGCGGGTGTCAGGCCTACAGCCTGTGCTCTGCACAACTCTGCCAGTGCACATTGCCACTCATATCTGGTCTCACAGTAGCTTGCACGCATAGTACCACTAATCCCAACAAAAATGACAGGCAGAGGCAGGCCACCCCGCAGGGGCCATCGTGGTCGTGGTGCTGTGATTCCCTTTGGCCCTAGAATAATGCCCAGCTTTCAGAGGCCACGTACCCTGAACTTGAAAAGTTCTGAGGACATAGTTGACTGGCCAACACAGAACACCCAATCTTCTACAGCCTCCGCTCAGAACCTTGACGCACCATCCTCCTCCAGCTTAGCTTCAGGCACCTCTCAAGATACCACTCACCCGCCTGCCGCCACCACCAAAACTAGCACCACAGCCACTTCAGTTGGTATGTCAGAGGAGTTATTCACACATCCATTTGAAGAAATGAGTGATGCGCAACCATTATTGCCAGAGGATGTAGATAACAGGGATATGTCTCAGGCAGGCAGGATTACACACATGGACGTACGGTGTGATGATGATGATGATGTTGTACCCGCTGCTGCTTCCTTTGCTGAGCTGTCAGATACAAGTGAAGCGGTTGATGATGACGATGCGTCCATGGATGTCACGTGGGTGCCCGCTCGTCAAGAAGAAGAACAGGGCGAAAGTTCAGATGGGGAGACAGGGAGGAGGAGGAGACGAGTTGGAAGCAGGGGGAGGTCGTCGCAAGGAGCTAGTGGCACAGTCAGACAGCATGCATCGGCACCCGGGTCAGCCCGGACAGCATCGCCAATCACCTGATGCTGCCCACCACCAGAATGTCACATTGCAGAGCTCAGCAGTGTGGAATTTTTTGTGTGTGTCTGCTCTCTGACAACAGCGATGCCATTTGCAACCTGTGCCAAAAGAAACTGAGTCGTGGGAAGTCCAACACCACCTAGGTACAACTGCTTTGCGTAGGCACATGATCTCACATCACAGACGCCTATGGGATCAACACATGAGTACAAGCAGCTCGCCTACTCTAAGCCGCCAGCCTCCTCCTGGTCCAGCATCTTCAGCCACGTCAACCACTGCTGTCCCCCTTGTCCCCTCTCAACCATCTGCCACTCCGCCTCCCGCCTTGAGCAGTTCACGCTCATCTTCCCACAGTCATGTGTCTGTCAAGGACATGTTTGAGCGTAAGAAGACAATGTCAGAAAGTCACCCCTTTGCCCAGCGTCTGACTGCTGGCTTGTCCGAACTATTAGCCCGCCAGCTTTTACCATACAAGCTGGTGGAGTCTGAGGCGTTCAAAACATTTGTAGCTATTGGAACACCGCAGTGGAAGGTACCCGGACGAAATTTCTTTTCACAAAAGGCAATCCCCAACCTGTACTCGATTGTGCAAAAAGGAAGTAATGGCATGTCTGGCACACAGTGTTGGGGCAAGGGTCCATCTGACCACTGATACCTGGTCTGCAAAGCATGGTCAGGGCAGGTATATCACCCACACTGCGCATTGGGTAAACCTGCTGACGGCTGCCAAGCATGGAATGCGTGGCTCTGCAGAGGAGTTGGTGACACAGCCACGACTTGCAGGCAGGCCTGCTGCCACCTCCTCTACTCCTCCTACTCCATCCTCTTCCATAACCTCGGCTGAGTCCTCTTCTGCTGCTGCGTCTTGCTCCACATCAACGGCACCCCCCCAGCTCCCCAGGTACTATTCCACATCCCGGATACGGCAGTGTCACGCCTTGGGTTTGACTTGCTTGAAGCAGAGAGTCACACCGACAAGCACTTGTCCGGGCCTCTGAAAGCACAGGTGGGAAAAGTGGTTGACTCCGTTGTTTACTGATATCGCAAAGTGGTTTGTGACAACGGAACAAATTTGTTAGCGCATTGAAGTTAAGAAGTTGTCACATGTGCCGTGCATGGCAATATGTGTGTAATCTGATCGCATAACGCTTTGTGCATAAGTACACAGGTTGCTGGTGGACGCCCCAGCAGGCCGGAAGGTGTGTGGCCATTTCAGGCGCTCTACACGCCATGGCTCACTTTGCCGATATCCAGCGGCTTAAACAACACATGCCAGTGAGTATACACACGCTGGAATTCAACACTCCTAATGTCTCAATCACTTGCTCCAACAAAAAAGTCAGCACGAATATTTGTATGACCGGGTGCTAGGACACACTTCTGGGGAAGCCGGGAATTTTTTGCCACGCTACTGGACGCTCATGCGCAATGCCTGTAGGCTCATGCGTCCTTTTGAGGAGGTGACAAACCTAGTCAGTCGGACCGAAGGCACCATCAGCCACATCATACCATTTGTTTTCTTCCTGGAGCGTGCCCTGCGAAGAGTGCTGGATCAGGCCGTAGATGAGCGTGAAGAGGAAGAGGAAGAGTTGCGGTCACCATCACCTCCAGAAACAGCCTTATCAGCATCGCTTGCTGGACCTGCGGCAACGCTGGAAGAGGATTGTGAGGAAGAGGAGTCAGAGGAGGAATGTAGCTTTGAGGAGGAGGAAGAGGAGGAGCAAGACCAACCACAACAGGCATCCCAGGGTGCTCGTTGTCACCTATCTGGTACCTGTGGTGTTGTACGTGGCTGGGGAAGAAAATACCTTCATTGACATCAGTGAGGAGGAGGAACGGGAAATGAGTAGC